CAGAAGCTGTTTAATTTGAGATGATCCCACTTGTTGATTCTTAGTACTATTTACTGTGCAACTGAGGTTCTGTTTAGAAAGTGTTTCTGTTGCAACATTTAGGTCTTTGATCTATTTTGATTTTAGTTTAGTGATGGTGAGAGAAACCAGTGGACTAACTCTTCTGTGTGTGGATTGCCAGTACAATTTATTAAAGAGGTATCTATTTTCCACTGCATGTTTTTGACCTCTTTGTCAAAGTGCTGGGGATTGTTCCGCACCCTCTGTGCTGTTCCATTGATCCAGTTGTCTGTTCTTGTGCCACTATCATGTTGTTTTATCACAGTGTTGTAATACAACTTGAAATCTGGAGTTTTGATGTCTTTTGCTTTGCTCTTATTTGCTCAGGATTGCTTTTGCTATACTGGGTCTCTTCCGGTTCCATATGAATTTTGGAATAGTTTATCCATTTCTGTGAAAAATGCTGTTGATATTTTGCTTTGAATTGCTTGGAAGTCTGGCCATTTGATGATATGGTGAATAGCTACTGTAGTCTGGAATGATAAGCAGTACCTTAACAATTTGCTTCTCACTACTTATAAATTTGAGGAACCTTAAGGTATATTAAACAATGCGTGGTGTTGTTTGATACAGGCTAATGAAAAGAAATTAAATGTCAAGTACAGAAATTGTAAAGATATTGCATAAGGTTATATGGCTAACCAGTGGTTAAGCAGTGCTTCTTTTACTACTGAAAGGGAAGTCACATAATCTTAAAGTCAATAATCCACATAAGAAGGAAAGATCAGAGAACAGAAAGCACACAAAATTTTAAGAATATGTGGAAAATGAGTATTGACTATCAGGAATATATAAAGAACTCCAAAAATTAGCTTGCCCAAAATAAAATACCCAATCAAAAAAGAGGCAATTGAAGAAGCACAAATGGCCAATTAATACATGAAAAAATGCTCATCATCACTGGCTACTAAAGAAATGCAAATTAAAACCACACTAAAATACCTTCTTACCCTAGAGAGAGCCACTGTCATAAAAAGTCTAATAATAACAAATGCTGGTAGAATGTGGAGAAAAAGAATCTTATTACCTTGCTGATGGGAATAAAACTAGTATAGACACTACAGAAATCAGTATACAGAGTACTCAAAAAATTATTGACCCAGCTATCCCTCTGCTGCATATCTTCCCAAAAGAGTTAAAAATCATATTAGAGACATATGTATAGCCACGTTATAGAAGCACAACTTATAATAGCTAGATCTTGGAAACAGTGTATACGTGTATCAACAGATGAGTAGATAAGGGTAGTATGGTATTTATACACAATGGAGTGTTGTGCTGCCATAAAGAAAAATGTAAAGCTTTCATAGAAAAAGATATAACTAGAGAACATAATACTAAGTGAAATAAGTCAAGACAGACAAGCTCACATAGCACATGGTTTCTGTTACATGAGAAACATACACTCATATATATATATATACACACATACAGAGTCCATCAAAAAATATATATATATACACTTCAGCAGTTTTCCATACTAATAAACGTCTGAAAGGTAATGGCTACCACTTTGAGTACTTTTTGTAATTGTATAGGTCAAAGGTAAGTTGTATGAATCTCATCTTGATAAATTTGGTACTGAAACATTTACATAAGTTTTTCTTTTCTTGATATATACCTTTTTTGGGAGAGTCTGTGTAAACACACACACACAAATAAAAAGCAAAACACAAAATAGATAAATACAGAGTATGGAAAAGTTCAAATATTTCCTCAATTACATATTATGTTTTTAAAAAAATTTAAAAGACATATATTCTAATTTGTTTCATTTATACTAACAGTCTATCTTAGTTCTCTGAAAAGAAAATCTATCTTTATCATAGATAAACATAAATCTATCTTTACGTTTCATTTTTAAGAATCTTTTTGGTTTATGCCTTGTACTAAACAACTACTTTGAAGATAATGATACACAGTGTAGTAACTATTGTTATCTCATTATTTGGTTATGAAATTTTATTTTTTCATAAAATAAAAAACCAAGAATATGTAGAAACAGGTTAAGTCTGACAGATAAAGGCAAATCAATATACAAATGATTCTGCAGAAAATTATAGTGGTGTCTACGAGTAGGAATTATAAATCTAAGTTTAAGCCAAGTTAATACAAGTTTAGAAAATATAAGTCTTTTGAAATACTGTTTTCCAACAAAGATGCAATAATTATTGGTTTAAAAAGATACATACTTTTCTTTGCTGATAACTCAGTAAGCTTAGATGCAAGTGTATGAAACAACTGGCTACATAAAAATAATAAAAGCTTCAAGGATTAAAATAGAACTTAAACCTACAACAATTTTTATATTGTCTGTTAATAAAAAACAAAGCCTGAATCTAAAAAAAGAGCAATGAGAAAACTAATGGATTGATGTTAGATGTGATTAAAGAATTACTGCTATTTGGAGTATGTTATTTTACTACAGTTATTTTTTAAAGTTCCATAATTCAGTCATAGTTAATCAATCCAAATTATTCATTTTTTAAATCTGGCTTAAATGTGGGCATTACTGCTTATTTTTCTCTGAAAATAGAACAACCAAGTCAACAGAATAGGGGCTTTGCTTTTATGCTACTGTCTTTTTCCTTTGAAATATCCTAATTCAATATCTAGTTACAAGATTCAACTTCTGTTGAAAAATATAGTATCTCTAGGATTAAAAGTCAAATCATCTAAACATGTTAATCAATAATGAAGACATAAACACACAGAGACTAACAATACTTTTGTTATTTCTTGACAGGTTTTTTTTCCAGAATTAGAGTAAATACATGTTTCATAGATATAGAAAGAAAATGTACTTATGTTTATCTAGTTAAATTGTAAATATAGTATAAAAACTTCCAATGATTCACCAGATGAGATTCAGAATATTTAGTAAAGAGTGAGTTGGAGATTAAAACTGCATTTACTCCTACCAAAAAAAAAAAAAAAAGCCCACTGTGTAGCGCTGTCTTGTTTCTGGACATCCTTATCTAGGTGTTGCTTATATTTATCCATTTGAATTGTGAAAATGCACTTATGTTCATTTTTCTCTGAATGTATTATACATCAATAGAAACATTTTTAATATTTCTGTTACAATATACATACTACTTCAGTTCACCCATGCTTCTGTTCATAAACAATTCAGTTGTCAAATAAATATGTTCCACAAAATTTTGCTTCCATTCACAAACTACACATCAGGTAGCAAACACAACTGTAGCCATGTTCCCCACACAAACATAAATGCGGTCATCTCCGAAGTCAAAAAACAAGTTTGGAAACTTAGGTACCGTTGTACACTGAACTATTACAGATGAACTGATGTACTTATGGTGGTGGATGAGAGAAAAAAATAAAATGAGATAGGAAATAAATGAAATTGTTAGCGTGTTGAGACTGCTGAAGTTGTATGATGGGGTCATAGAAATTTGTAACTCACATTTTTAAATTACAAAATAAAAACTGCTAAAGCGATAACATGATTGCTGCTGCAACTGTACTCTCTGGGAACAAACAGAACAAGAGAAACTATTATCTGGGCAACCACAGAAAACTACCACCTTTAAAAGAAAGGAAATTAGAACAAACTACAGCAGCAACATTCACCCCCCCCCACCTGTGAAGGAGGTGAGAGGAGCAAGGCTTTCTTAATGGTCAGTAAGCAGAATGACTTCCAGAGTAGTAACCACATCTATTACATGGAAAACAAAGATAAAATTTAACCTGCACAGGTAAAAGTTAAGAGACTGTATGTGTATGTATTGTGACAGATGCAGTAACTGGGTTATTAATTCCCATAAAAAGGGCACTAGGTAGAATGCACTCTGTGATTTTTTACATTTACCCTACTCCTCCCCAAGAACACTGCACTCAAGGGCCCAGTCAGAGATGGAACAATGCCAGTCAGTTTCTAAGTACAGGCTTTGAGCTCACAAGGCCCCTACCCCAAGGTTTAAGAATGATTCAAACCAAAATTTCAGTGTTTCTTCCTATTCATCCTAAGCCTCTGAGAAGTAAGAACTCATCTCACATAAGGATAAGGAATCTTCACGACAGAAACATATATCCCAATAATCAAGTCACAGTGCACTCTAAAAATAAGCAGATGTCAATGTTTGGGCTAAATCTTGCCATAATCATTATTCTTTAAAATGATCCAAGAAATCTTAGTCATGGGGTTATTTGCCTTATTCAAGTACAGGGGAGAAGCATTCCTCCCCTAAAGTAAAAGAGTCAAAGCTAGAAGAAAAGAGGGATCGGGTGCTCCTGATCTCTCTATGCTGTGGTCTTCAGAATTCACTTATATACTCAAAGACTATCATCTATGCTAGAATCTTTTATTTTGGGAACAAAATTTCAATAATGCATTCATTTTATCCAAATTTCAATAGAGTAAAAATATCTGGATGCTCCAGAACACTTCTTATAAATGAATTTTATTGGTACATACTATGTAACCAATGTTTTTTTCATTTTTATCAGTACCAGGGATTGAACTCACGACCGCCTGCTTACAAGGCAGGTGCTTATGCCTCTGAGCTAAATCCCCAGGCCCCATACTTTGTTTCCCTAAACTGAGCTAATTTTTTTTAAGCTTTTTTTTTTTTTTAATCGGTACCAGGGATCGAACTCACGACCGCCTGCTTGCAAGGCAGGTGCTTATGCCGCTGAGCTAAATCCCCAGCCCCACCAATGTTTTTAAAAGTATCCTTTTCTTGTGTTTTTTGGTAACTTTCTGGAATATAAAAGTATACTATTAGTCACTCAAAAAAACAATATACATAAATATTTTATCGAGTGTCCAGATGATAAGCAATTTGAAAAGATAACAAATATGGTGAATAAAACAGCTGGTCTGCCTGTAATAAACAGTCTCAACTGAACATGCACAAAGAGGTGCACAACCACTCAAAAGCTGGTTAAATAGAATCACTCTTTTCTTTACTTACTTTCTGAGACAGGAGATGAAGAGTTGTGCATGTGATCAGCAGATCGCAGCTGGCGGGAGCTCTGTTGGGTACAGCAGTTATTCACACACTGAAGAATCTGCATTCACAAACTTTACCCAAAAAACACTGTACTACTCAAAGTATGACCTGGGAAACCTACAGCATCAATATAACCTTACACAGAACTTAGAAAGGTGGCACCCAAACCTAGTAAGTTAGATCTACATTATAACTAAGTTCCCAAATTAATGTGTGGGCATACTGCAGTCTGAAAAGCATGGGGTTAGGCGATAGCTGCTCACATGGCAGGAGGCTTTTCATAGTGCTTGCCCGTAGGCCTCCTCATGACGCACATGAGGATACCTGCAGCCTTACTAACTCCCAAGGGACACTAATCTAAAAGGAAACAGTTGCACAGGCACCTCCTGAAAGAGACCAGGCTTGAAAATTGTGTAAAAATACATAAGCAACCAGAGATTTACTAGAGAAAAGGAAAAGCGATGTTCACTTTTGTAATTACTGCAAGTTAGACCACTTCTGGAGAACAGCCGATAAATCTGGCCACACATTTTAACCATGATTGATGCAAACTGTGAACCTAGGAAATGGGGAGGGGTAAAAAGAGGAAAAGGGATCAAGAAATTCTATCATGAGGGCTAGCTAAACTGGAGGATATTAAACTTGAAGGAGGGACCAAGTGGATAGATAGTAGTGGTGTTCACACATTTGAAGGACTGTCCCAATGTATCTGTACCACAAATGTGTTTCTGAGTATCTTCTGTGTGCCAGGTAGTACATCTGGAGGTAAGGACTCTGAGAGTAAACAAGTTTCTAATATTTCTTGCCTAGTGGAAGAAACTTGTCTGTTGTACCTGAAATCCAAACCAGAGCCAATGAAATGTAACTGGAAAGTCACAGGCACTATACAAGAAAGCCTTTTCTGGCCATAGAGGTATCGTTTTGGAACGAACAGACATAAGTGATGGGTTTCAAGGGACTGAGAAGAATGGGTTAGGGAGGGAGGGTATGACCTTGTCTCAGCGGGCAGAGCAGGGACTAACAGGCCAAGGTAATATTACAAGATTAGAAGATAACTGGATCAATATCATTAACCTACTATAAGATTCATTTAGAATTATGCTGTATTTAATTTAGCTCAGAACAAATTTTTAAAAATCTAAATACAACTTAGGGCTATCCACTAAATTTTGTATGTGAATAGTACCTAACTTGTTTTTTAGTAAAAGTTTTGTTTTGTTTTGAAAGAGGTAGTCACTGCATAGTTCAGGCTGGCCTTGAACACACTACGTAGTCCAGGCTGGCCTAGAACTAATGCAGTCCTCTTGCCTCAGCCTCCTGCATGCTGGGATTATAGCATGAGCCACCATTCTTGGCTCTAGTAAAAGATTTTAAAATCTAAGATTTAATAAAAATCCACATTAGCATTTAAACAGCAAATCTGCCTAATGACTAATTTGAGTTCCACTCTTGTTTCTCACCCATTCCTCTAAAACTACTGTATTTCATAATCCTTGTTTCAGAGTTGCTTATTCCACTCCTGAAATCATCCTAAAGAAAAGACAATTCCTTTCTCACTTCCACAAAGAATAAAAGAGCAACAGGTAGGGAACTAGATATCTAAAGATATAAATGAATACTATGGGAAAACATATGTAAACCACTTGATGTTCAACCAGAATCAATCCTTTTCATGGAACAACATAGGATATAAATATTAAAAAATAATATTCACAAAGTAAATCTTTAAGGTAAAATTATAAACTACTATAAAGTAATTTTGTAGGATTCATAGAAATAAGGGAAAATACATTATCAAGTTTAAAAAATCTTGTACAAATCAAGTATGTGAATAAAAACTACAAAAAAAGAAAATCTTGAAGTTTATTTTTTAGTATGTTACGATCTTCTCCACCCAAAAGTTCTACTTCACTGCTGACTATTCAATAAATAACTTTATAATAAACAATAGAAACCAAAATAATTGTAATTCATTAAAGAATCTGTATATCAAAAAGAAATGAAACGGCAAAGGTGACACAGTTTGATTTTCATGCTCAGTTGGTTACCTGTTCTTTATAAAGCTCTTTATAAAGCTATAAAGTTCATAAACTCCAAAAGTAAAGATAACGATCCTCACACTATGAAAAGTACTTAACATTTGTGGAAAGTCAAAGGACTTTGTACAGCAGACGCCCATGAACTCTGGGTAAAAACAAAACTAAATTTCTGGATTCTGTTTTGTTTTTCACCTTATTTGCTCTCACTCAACATCGCTCATGCCAAGTTGAGTTTTTTTCCTTTCCTTTTTCCTTCTCAAGTTCATAAATGTGAAGGAAAAAAAAGACAGTTCTGTCTAAGTCCTCTCCTGTCTCCCAGGAATGTTGTGAAATGTGGCTTTTGGGAATGGCTTACAAAGAAAAATATGACGAATATTTAACTACTACCTGTTACCACAGAGATCTACTAGGACTGATTTGACTCAGGGCCAAGAGATTTTTGAGTTCAAGTTCTCTACACTCTTAACATAGTGATGTCAAAAGAAAGTCAGTCGCACACACTGATGCTGAAAAAATGTTTATCTCATCCTTTTAATCCACCTTCTTCTACACACACATACAAAGTCTGCCCAGTATGAAACTGGAAACTTTCCAGATACACTCTACATTTCTTTACCCTATCCAGAAGGCTGATTCTTAGGAATTATATTAACAGGCTCCTATGCCCTTTGAATTCTGATTGGATTAGTCAATGCTAAGGCCCAGAAAGAGATCAGGGGAAGGAAAACAGGAATGGAGAAGAAGGGTATGACTGGGGAATTCACTCCACTTATTCTGCTTGCATTTCTAAACCAAAAGTCCTCTCAAGGTAGCCTCTTCCAAATGACAATCTCTTCTGGTTTCTGATAACTACTTCTGTCCACCATCCCTTTGGAGCTAGGGATAGTAGCTCCTGGGATTCTTGCACTACCCTTTATGGTTCCCTTTACATCTGACCTACACCTCTTTAAGTAAATTCTCTTGTAATTATCCCAAGTTGAAAATGCCAATTTTTCCTACTGGAACTCTAGTTTAGCTCTCTCTATAGCACTCTAGAATCACTTATATCCTGAATCAACATGAAGAGAACAGGTAATGCTGGGGCTCCTCTCAGTCTGAGATGCATGTGCAGGAAAGACATGATGATTTTAAAATGCTAACTCCCAATAGTAGCCTATCTTCCCCTAATAGACCGAAAGCAGTCCCAAAGCAGAGCCACTCTCTTCAGACCCAGAGGAGTATCAATTTCTAAACCCTTAGGGCCCTATGAATTGAACCACCCCTATATTTTAAATCTTCAATCTTAAGACCTGGTTCGTTCCCCAAATCAGTCTTAATCAACAATTCACACTTTTCTCCTAAATTAATAATGGAATCCAATACACAATATCTTAGGAACTTGGGGAGGGAAACACAGCAAATGTCCCATCCTTCCACTGTGTCAAATGAGTTCAGAAACAGCACAAAAGCAAACTCCCCAAGCAAAAGGGATATTTTAATCTCTCATTGAGTGGGAAATGACATGCAATAACCAACCTCCCATATACCTTTCTCTTTGTCCCAACTCCTAGAAGAAGTAAAGAAATTGAGGTCCACAGGGACTGTGTATGCAATAAAAAGTTAGAACTAAATACAGACACTTGTCTCCAGTTCAATTTTAACTGCAACACATTATCCCCAATTCGGCCTGTGCTCAAAGTTTCCTAAAGGCAAAGCAAAGGAAATACTTCATCCAGGTTAGCCTATTCTGCCAAGCTACCTCACTATTACTTGCTTAAACTAGACTGAGGTCAGGAGTGGTCCTAGTCATCCCAAGACTGAAGAAATTACAGAGATATAACATGTTCCCACTGCCTTGAACCACTGATGATACATGCATGACTGGCCCATCTGGAGCCTTGTACACTGATGGTGAGAGTGCTGCAGTCAAGCATGAGATGTCATACATGTACCACTGGTCAGTCAAGCCTGCTGGCAGGGAGTTAATCTCATTTTACTAGATCTAAACCGGCAGGGTCATAGTAAGAGCTCATACTCTGTGAAATATAAAGTAAATCCCAAACTTTCTAGGCCTCTATTTCTTTCCCATTAAAAACAGGTCAGTTAGCTCCTGAGATACAGCCATGGTGGGACTTTGGCAGCTTACTCTTCTGCCCTCTTGGTAAGCGCACTCGTTGTGGACCAGGAGGAGAACCAGCAGCTCCTGTGAGCCTGCTGGGGCCCGGGCTGAGAATCAACCACCACCACCACCCCCGTAGTTACTGGGGATAGATGTCTCAGCATCTCTTGGGAGGATGACCATATACAATATGGGTGATTTCTTTCTATCTTCTGTTTGAAGGCAAAGGTTGTTTTTACTGTTTTGTTATGTTTCTTTTGCTCTATTCTGTACTCTCAATTGGTTTTTAAATGTTCTGCTTTTGCTTTGATTTCGCTATACCTAACTGACTGGACAACTATTGTGAAGATAACAAGATATACCATTCTACCTATTACTACCATCCCAGTATCCTACTGTGAAGTTCGGTACCAATTTCACTGCATTATCTCTATTAGCTTTGTTCTGACCTGTCCTGTTGTATTTTCACTACTTTCAAAATAAAACTGAAAAAAAAGAGGTCAATTAAATCACTATTAATGATATATTATTATTAAAACAGGCTTGTTATCTGACACTAAATGACACTGTATAGTCTTCTGCATAGTGATTTGCAGGCTGTGAGGAGTGAACACCAGCTCTTGTTGTCAGACCCACTGAAGTGCTTAAGTCTCTTCTAGGTGGAAATCAAATTCTAATGGTTTTACAGGAATTTTACCAAGCCTCAAAGTCTTAGAAACCTTTTGTTTTCTTTTACATGGAAGTATATAACAATGTTACCAAATGTAACAAAACAAAACAGGAAAACTATGCTAGTGAGACCACTGAGATTAAAATATACTGTAAGAGCCAGGCGTGAGAAAATGGGAAATGAAAAAATATGAATCCCCTGGGGCTACAGCCCCAAACCAACTGCAAACCCTTCAATGAAAATACAAAAGAAAGAAAACTCTGAAGTGGAGGCCAGAGGATCTCGGGTACAAGTCCAGCCTAGGCAATCAGCAACATAACAAGACTTTCAATTTTTTTAAGCAATCAGGAAGAGGACCTGGGGATATAGCTCAGCAAAAAGGCCCAGGGTTCAATCTCAAGTACCACACACACATACACACATACATAGACTTTTGAAAGTCTACATTCAATGAAAAGCTCTGTGAGAGTTGCAGTCAAGAGTAAGTTCAACAAGGGACTGAGCCGCCAACTTTTTAAAAAATGTATCTATGAAGCCATAAATACATACATAAATCTTGTGGTGACTCATTAAGATCATAATTAGCATAATGTTACACTTATGAAACTCTCAACCCCTAGTCTAAAGAGAAGTACTTAAAGAGAAGACTGAGTTTTAAGTATCTGAACAGTTATATATGTTGCATATAGTGTGGAAGACTGTCAGATCTAGTGAGCCAAAGGTCCTAAGACAGGATTGTTGTTTCCTATGAGGAGTATTTTTGAGCTAACAGAGAGGTCACCAAATCAGAAAAGGAGCTGGCATCCTACCAGTGGGCATACTGGAAAACTCTATGGTCATCTTCTATATGACAGTTCACAATCTTAATATATGCCTTGATTAGACAACAGAAATAAATGTAAGTCAAAATCCACAAAATATGGCACATAAGCGCTCACAACAAAGCCTTGAGAAAGTAATATGAGGGCTCAAATTTAGTTGTTTTACATATATAAAGTCTTATTCCATTAGAGAGGTATTCTAGTTAAAAATAACAACTCTATAGTGTTTTAGTCATAAAAATAATTGGCCCAACACTAAAAAAGTACGAGTAGAATTGTTGCATTATTTTCAGTACTCGTGCTAAGAATTTCATGTAGTCAAGAAAAAAAAAAAAAGAATTTCATGTAGTCATAGGTAACACTGCTTTTTGCCCTTCAGAGCTCAGAAAGCTAAATAGTTAAAAGTCAAGAAAATTCTAGGGCCTGGGGATTTAGCTCAGCGGCATAAGCGCCTGCCTTGCAAGCAGCCAGTCGTGAGTTCGATCCTCGGTACCGATAAAAACGAAAAAGACCAAAAAAAAAAAAAAAAAGAAAATTCTAAAAAATCAGTCATCAGAAGAAAGTGAGTCAACATTTTATTTTCTTTGCTCTACTTGCCCCTAAAAAAGTGAGTTTGGATCTGAAAGACAAAAAGAAAGATTCAAAAGAAGAAAAAAACATTTGAAAGACGAACCTGTGAGTTTAGTGACATTAACCACCTCAAACTTTACTGAAGTAGAAATTCAAAAGTTGTATACAGTATACTACACTGTCTCTTTATTTTTGCTTTACCACAATAAGCACGATATAAAGGCAGAAGGTCATCTTTCATTCAGCCTATTTGCTGCTTTCCAGGGCTATCACAGTTCATCACAGGAGAACATTAGTGTTTGTCACCATGGAAGCAGTTGTAAAGACAAAACCAGAATTGTGAACAAAATACAAGACACAATTAACATATTTTGGAGCAGGAGTGAGGGAGTGAAGGTTCAAATTATCAGATGAAAACTCTCCTGAAGCAATTCATGTTAAGTGACTTTTTCATTTCAGAAGATAAAGACTAACACAATTATCTTAACAAAATTAATTTCTTCTGTTCACAGAAGATATTATATCTGAATTCCAG